GCCTGAATCCTGCCACAATAAGAGTCTGAATCCTGCCACAATAAGAGCCTGAATCCTGCCACAATAAGAGTCTGAATCCTGACACAATAAGAGTCTTATCCCGCCACAATAAGAGTCTTATCCCATCACAATAAGAGTCTGAATCCTGTCTCAATAAAAGTTTGAACCCTGTTACAATAAGATTTTGAATTCGGTCACAATAAGAGTCTGGATCCTGTCACAATAAGTCACACAATCCTTTCACAATAAGAGTCTGAATCTTGTCACAATAAGTCACACAATCCTTTCACAATAAGAGTCTGAATCGTATCGAGATTAAACATCGAATTGAATGTTATTTTTTACTGACTCAAATCATGACCAGACTCTGAATCGACTGGTGTCAGTAAATACCAGCTGGTTGTGAAGGGGAGCATCAGCTAATAAAAGAATCACATTTCTGACTGTAAAACAAATCAATGGTTTTGACTCACCAGCCACTGCAGTCAGGAGAATCGTCAGGCAGAAACAGAATTTCGCGATTAATTCGGTGGCGGTTCGACTCCCGGCCATGACAGAGGCGTCCATCAGCTTTCCTCCCGAGTCCTGCTGTGTGTTTTATTAAAACTTCTTTTGGTCCTCTTCTTCTTCTTCTTCTTCTTTGTAGTTACTAAGCCTTTCTCCCTCCTCACGTCACGTCAGCTCAACACCTTGAACTGCTCCAGCAGATTTGGAAAGACACATTGAGAAATGATGTGGGAAAAAATAAAATTAAAAAAAGGTTGTTGTGATGGAGTCGCGCAGTTTGATTACTAATAACAACCCAGCAAATAAAGRGATTTATTCCTGTTTTTCTCTCCGGGTGGGAGTAAACAGATGAGCCGAGCAGCTAACTTGTTTGGCGGATAAGCCGTCCGCAACTCTCCCCCAAACAGCGTCCATATCTGCGAGCTAGCATGCTAGCTTCCCGAAGCGGCTACTGTCTGGAACTAGAAAACTTGGGAAAAAAGCGGATAAAAATTGATAAAACACCCCAACAAGGAGGCGATGCGTTTAAAGACCAGCTGTCCGTCTTCAGGGAAGTCCACCTTTCTCACTCTGTGGCTAAAAATGACAACATAAAAAATAAAATTGTTCCAGTTGCTATGGAGGCTAAGGACGCTAGCCACAGAGCTAACCAGTTAGTTCAGCTCGTCCAGTCTCGTTTCTCGATTATAAATGATAAAATAATAAAATTAAAATGAAATAAAGTTGTCGTCGTCCGTCTCAGCTATCCTGGTGCGCGGTGGACGGAGATGATTCCCCCTCCCGGTGTTTGGAGCCAGGCGGACGGAGGAGATGGTTATCTGTCGGTGTGATGCGGGCGGCTGGGAACGCCTCGTTTGCGGGCTTGTCTGGAGCGGCCGTCTCCGGTGTCAGGTTGCTGCGATCGGGTCCCACTCAGCCGGGAAGGGGCGGTGCAGCGCCGCGGTGCCGCAGACGGTGGGAACAACAGCAGGCTCTCCTCTCCGCGGTGTTGTTGTCCTAAAAACACTGGTGTGTGTGTGTGTGTGTGTGTGTGTGTGTGTGTNCCACCTGCATTACTGTCTGTCTACCACCTGCATTACTGTCTGCCTACCACCTGCATTACTGCCCGTCTACCTCCTGTATTACTGTCTGCCAGACACCTGCATTACTGTCTGCCTACCACCTGCATTACTACCTACGTACCACTTGCATTACTGTCTGTCTACCACCTGCATTACTGTCTGCCTACCACCTGCATTACTGTCCGCCTACCACCTGCATTACTGTCTGCCTACCACCTGCATTACTGCCCGCCTACCACCTGCATTACTGTCTGCCTACCACCTGCATTACTGCCCGTCTACCACCTGCATTACTGTCTG